TTGGATTTCTTTCGTTTGATCTCCCCCATCCGCGCTCAGGCCGGTTGGCGTTCGCCTTTCATCACTAGCTTGCGGCCATCCCTGAACTGGTGCGTGGTGCTCCTCGTGAATGGCGGCAGCTACGTTCACGGCATCTCGGGGTCCCGGAATGGATAAATCACTCAGGCTCTGCGAAAGCTGACGCGAGTTCAGCGATCGTCTCTGTAACGGTAAATACGGGCTAGCCCCACGTGTGCGTGCGTCGTATCTACTATCTTGAAACTGAATTGACCTTTCGTCATGCGAACTATCGTGAGGTGCTGCATACAGCCTCCTAGATCTAGGGACAGGGTCTTCTACTGCGCCTCTGCCATACTCAACAATCATGGCCGATGCCTCTGCATATTCTTCTTGCAACTTCTCAAGTTCTCTCAACATCTTCTCTGCCTGACTATTGTTATCCTCCGTGGTGTAAACACTAACGAGCTCGGCAATTACGGATGCAGCTCGTTCGTAACACTCAGTCAACACGGGTGAGCTTGCTACCTGATCAAATGACAACTCACCGGAACTGACCCGACGGAGATCGACGATCAGGGTCCTTCTCGCGTTGGTGAAGTCCGACTTCACTTGCACTTTCAGCGCTCTGAGTTTGCCTGAGTCCAGGGCGACCGCCTCTGGTTCACTATCCGAAAGTGACGTACCAGACGCTTGCGATGCCACCTCCTGCTCCGCATCCTCCATGCCTGCAGTGCTCCGATTTTCGGTATCGGACGTGCTCATGACTACAGTTCTCTCTGTAATCAACTTCTACGAAACGCGATCAACCATCCTCTGCTACCATTAATGTTCCGCAGGACTACACCACGCTAGTCCATAAACATTGAAACTGTGATGGATCGTAACTACACACTGGGTTCTTCGATATAACCAAAACGCAAACGTGCTATTCGTGAGTAAAAGCAAAAGTGTACGGTATTATATGTGACCAAAAAGATACAGTGAAAGAAAAGCCTAGCAAAGCATTGCAAGGCACGTTGGTTCGGCTGCGTTGGTTCAGCTGCACGCTAGTGCAAACATGCAGATCGACAATGTTGGGCGGAAACCAAACACCACAACATTGCCAGAAACTAACTTGTTCACACCTACATACAATCATGAGTCCATACCGTGTCTGGTCTGGTTTGTTATGTTAGCAACCTAGAATGCATTGAACACATGGATTCGATCACAGGCGCCTACACGTCTACCTCAAATGTCTAAGTACCGTGAAAATGGATGAATACAAACCAGCAAAGCGCCATAATGCTGTAGGGCATGCACATAGAATCGGTATGGCTCGTCTAGCCTGCAGTTACCTAAAGTACCATACATGCACAGAACAATGCATCCAATAGTCCGTGTCCAGACACACTATCTAATGTATAGTCAAGGAGAGCCTCGTGAACATCCACTCCTCACTCGGTCTCGGACGTATACTCTGAGGTTGTACATTGGAAGAAGCTCAAGCTCCCAACAGGCTCAGCCGGGAAGCGATTTGTAACATTGATGTGCGAACAGATCCAGGACTTTGTTCAGTCTGCTGATAGTGGTACCCACAGAACAGCTCTGTACAACCTAGCCGTGCTCCCAGCTCTGTTACTACCCAGGGAGTAGTAAAGTATAAGATACAGTATGTATTTTACTACTCCCTGGTTACTACAACAAACGTATCGTCGATCCAAGCCCAAGGACAACACGAGTCACCTCCAGCGCCGGATGGCCCTCTGGGCAGATGGTAATATCACTGCTCTGGTTGAGGAAGGACGCTGCCTGCAACGGCATCGTGAGCCACACCGAGGAGCACGTCGACGAGGTGAGCAGGACAAGGCAAGGCATTTTGGTTCCCTCATGGCAGAAGGACGCAGGCGCGTGCTCGGCGATGGGCACGGGGGGCACGTGCACCCCCCCAAAAAATTTCAATCTGGGTAATTGCAATTGTAATGTATGCAAATGTGCTCTAAAATTCAAGAAAGGTTGCAAACAAATTGCAGAAAATTGCCAGGGGGGCTCCCCTCGGCTCCCGTGCACCCCCCTAGTTGGGGGGCCGAGCACGCCCCTGGGACGTGTGCACGATACCCTGCGTTCCCTATCTGAAGCTGAGTCCACGCAGTCATCCGGTGTGTTAGGTATCAATGACTCGATCACCATCAAGGACTCCACCACAACCGTGCGGGCAGCCCTGGAGAGTAAGCATCCTTGCGGCACTCCAGCAGCAGAGCACATCCTGATAGCGGGAGCAGCGCCTCAGTGCCACCCAATCCGATTTGATTCCCTGACTGCCGACCTCGTCAAAACCGTGGCCATGTAGGCGAAAGGCTCGGCAGGTCCCTCTGGTCTTGACTCGTCAGCATGGCGACGTATGTGCTCGGCGTACAAAGGGGCCTCCAACAACCTTTGCTCGGCGATGGTGTCCTTCGGCCGCTTGCTAGCAACACAAACCTTGCCGCCAGACTCTCTTACCCCCTTCACCGCCTGTCGTCTAATTGCCCTGGACAAGAACCCAGGTGTCAGGCCCATTGGGGTGTCTGAGGTCCTCCGTCGCATTCCAGCCAAATCCATTCTCCGAGTAACGTCAGACGATGTAATGGAGGCCTGTGGTTTTCTCCAGAAGTGTTCTGGATTGCCAGCTGGGATAGAAGCAGCGGTCCACGCCATGAAGCGCTTGTATGAGGACGCCACAACTGAAGGAGTCCTACTAGTTGACGCAAAGAATGCCTTCAATTGCCTGAACCACCAAGCAGCTCTTCACAATGTTCGCCACTTGTGTCCTTCCCTGGCTACCACACTGCTGAACTGCTACCAAGATGATGCCCGCCTCTTCGTTTCTGGCGGTGGTGAGCTTTCCCCTGCAGAGGGTACCACACAAGGTGACCCTCTGTCGATGGTTTTCTATGCCCTCGCTACATTACCGTTCGTACGGCACCTCCGCACTACCCACGCCAACATCCGTCAATTGTGGTATGCCGATGATTCATGTGGTGCAGGCAAGCTACGGGCCCTTCGACGCTGGTGGGATGATGTGGACGAGATCGGGAAACCTTACGGTTACCGTCGGCCATGTCAACGCCTCGAAGACTCTCCTCCTCGTCTAGCCTGACCAGCTCAACCTGGCCCACAGTGTCTTTGCAGGAACTGGCATTGAAGTGGTCACGGATGGAGCACGCTACCTGGGTGCCGCCGCTAGGGACACCGGATTTCATCGCTGGCTATACAGCTGGGAAAGTACAAGACTGGCAGCAGGAGCTTATGCGACTGTCCGAGATTGCCACTACCGAACCTCATGCGGCATATGCCGCCCTAACACACGGATTGCGTGGTTGATGGACATATCTCCTTCGTACACTGGAATTCTCAGCTGAACAGCTGCAGCGCCTGGATGACACGGTCACGGAGCACTTCCTTCCGGCTCTGACAGGGAAACGCACGTTCACGGCGGATGACCTCTCTCTTTTACGGCTACCTTGCCGGCTCGGTGGAATCGGTTTGCCATACCTCAAAGAAATCGCTACCTCCCAACTGCAGGCTTCCCAAGTCATCATGAGCAGCCAGGTTGACGAGATCATCCACCAGCACGATCGAGAGTGGCAGCATCATTCCTGCGACTTTGTGGATCAGCTAGCCCGCTGTGAGAGAGCATCTGCTGCCAAGTCCTCCAAGAAAGCTAGTGCTGCCTCTTTCGCTGCTCTCCGAGAAGCTGCGGACCGCCCCTTGGCCCGTCGTATGGATGAGCTGTCCCGCAAAGGCCCCTCTTCCTGGCTCACTGCTCTTCCTCTCAAGGAACATGGGTTCCACCTCTCGAAGCAGGAGTTCAGGGACGGCCTTGCATTGCGGTATGACTGGCCTCTCCTCGATGTCCCCACGAAGTGTGCCTGCGGAGTTCTGTTCTCCACTGCTCATGCCATGTGTTGCCCCCGGGGTGGCTTCCCTACAATCCGCCATAACGAAGTCCATGACATGGTAGGGGAGCTACTCACGGAGGTCTGCCACGCAGTGGCAATCCGACGAGCCTCAGCTAGCCCCGCTCTCTGGAGAGGTGTTTACGGCTGCATCGGCAAACACCGCCGAGGATGCCCGCGCTGATGTCCGTGCCCGTGGCTTCTGGACCCGAGCACAGGATACTTTCTTTGACGTACGCGTCTTCCATCCTGATGCGGCGTCCTACTCAGCCCCCACCCGCACTGGATGCCCTACTGCTTCAGCACGAGCGCCAGAAGAAGCTGCAGTACGGAGAGCGAATCCTCAATGTCACCGGGATCGTGGCACATTCAGCCCGCTGGTGTTGTCAACTTCTGGTGTTGCCTCCCCTGAATGTGAAAGGTTTCTTCTAGGAAACTAAGCGCCTCTGTGGCTTGCTTGCCAGGCCGGCTGATTCCAGCATGCCCTATGCACACCATGTTGCATATGTGCGCTGCAGGCTGTCTTTCGCGCGGCTCCGGTCCGCTGTCATGTGTGTCCGTGGGTCTCGGTCGGCATACCATCGTCCAGCTAGCGAGCCGGAGCTCAGGGAGCTGGTGGTGGTTGAAAGCCGGATCTAAAACCGGGCCATTTGTGTTTTAGTGTAAAACTCTCGCCACTCCGGAGACATATTTTCCACACCTGTGTACTATTATTAATAATCTTCCTATCGTACCCTGGTTTCTCATCGTTGCTTTTGCCCGTAAAAGAGGCTGTTTCCTTCTCTTCACCTGGGTCTACGAGGTCTACGAGGTCTACGAGGTGATTTGTAAAAAAATTACATGGCATAATTTACAAATTGAGTAAAATATCATTGTTGAGAGCTAGTACGTACGTAGGTCTACGTAGGCGATTGCATTCTTCCCACAGACTCAGCATCTTGACGTCATTTTTCGTATTATTGACGTTTTCAAAAACGACATGCATTTTTGTTGCATTATGCATGCATGACATGACATGTCGACAATGCATGATGAATTGCTTCAAAAGTTTGAAGGAACTATTACTTAGTTGAACTACAACTATTACACAATGTAATTACTTACTACTCGGCGAAACCAAGGCTTTGCAATTCTGAGTGAGTTCATCGTCGTCTACAAGTACAAGTAGCTTGGTGATGACTGCTGTGCTGCGGTACGGTGGTCTACGTGTAAAATTGGTATGGATGAGGAGACTATTTCCAAAGCTGCTGCCAAAGTGCTGGAGCGCCTCAAGTCAGAGGGTGTTTTCGATGACTTTCGCAAACGAATCGGATGCACCATTGAGGACGATGTAAGAAATGTGGATCGTTTTGCGTCTGTAGGTTTTCAGAAGCGGACTCTGCTGGTGGGACTGAAGTACAATAATGAAGTGCTCTATAAATTTTAGCTATGAGGGCAAAAAGGCCATGTTAGATGAACAGAGATTTTAGGCACAGAAAAGCAATGCCCTATAGAGGTTATGCAATTACATCTTCAGTTGAGATGCTCTGGTGGAGCTGCGGCACAGCACTTCACTTGCACTACATGTATTGTCGGGCGCCGAAGAACGGCCAGGCTAGAATTTTACCAATCACCGCATACCGATGTGTAACTCAACTGTGCATAAACTGTAGTACATGAAAATGAGAACGGTCTAGGCTAGGAGGCTGACCTCCAGTTCGTCGGCAACTGACAGTACTGTAACAACGTGTGCTACATGCACATACATATCACCCAGAAGTGTTTCCGCTGTATGTATACTTAGCGCCTATTAGCGATTCCGCTGGCTTGCGCTGTATAGTCCGCGTCCATAAGCGGTTACCCTGATCTCCCCCCCCCCCCCTTCCACCTCCCCTGATCCCCCTGATCTCCCTCCTTCCACCTCCCCTGATCCCCCCTTCCACCTCCCCTGATCCCCCCCCCCCCCCCTGAAATCATTCACATAACCTCTTTTGGGTGGTGTGTGTGTGTCGGTGTGTTTGTGCGGCTCGTACATTTTAGGTATGAAACAGATGCATCGAAAGTACCGAAAATAAAGTACTGTAATTTCACAATTTTTCGGTGTACTTTTATTTTCGGTACTTTGGGTGCGTCTGTTTCATACCTAAAATTAAATTTCAATACACCGAACAAACACTAACACACATAGTCCAAAAGGGAACTGCTACTCCGTACCTAAATTTTCTGTTCACCTAACCTGGCTTTTTGCGCTCACACCGAAAATATTTCTGAAATTAGGGGCCGTCCGTAAATATCGAACTTTTTCACCAAACGAATTATTTTAGTTTAGACTAGGGCTGAAACGATTATACCGAATAATCGAGTACTCGTTTGATAACTCTAACGATCGAGCAATCGTTTAGATTACCGATTACGATTATTTTGCGTTTTTTAAATTTGTGTCCAGAAAGTACTGTAAACCCTCGTTTTATGAAGTTTGAATCAGTTTCCGCTGGCAATATGCAGTTGCCAGGGGTATGGTTCATGTTCTGAGGTTAAATTGACTTCAAAACTGCCATGTTTCGGAGCTACCCTTTCACTAATGCAGATTTGTTGGTATTATGAAGGCATAGTTTGTGGAAACAGAGTAATGTTTGCACAGAATTATGACACTATTTGCTAACGATTATAATCGATTACTCGATCGTTAAGCTAACGAGTAATCGATACATGAAAATCCACGATCGTTTCAGCCCTAGTTTAGACCCAACCCTCCCTCCCTCCCTCCCCCTCAGAACGTAAAAAATGTTGACATACATGCATATACAACGGCCATGTGCATGGATCAATGTTTTCTGAAACGAAATTGGTCAACCCCCTCCTACCCCATAACGAAATTATTTCGTTTTGTGAAAAAAGTTTGTTATTTATGGACGACCCCTTAGCGTATGCTGGAATTTGTGAAATTAGAGTACATGTGTATTTGTGATAGCTATACAGAGTATAAGGGATGCAAGCATAACTCATCACCATAACACCAGATGCAAGTTTAAGTACGATTAAATTTATTAATGTCTGCACTCCTAAAGCTGTGTTCCCAACTGGCGCGTGGACGCGGTACGCTTGCGGTTCATGCGTGCCCGAACGCGCGCTCAGGCTTTCACAAAAAACAGCAATCCATTTCGTATTTAGCGCGTGCGACACCTTCGAGTACAAATTTTTGACCCCGCCAGTCAAAGTGACTGGCTGGTACGTGCCTGATACGCGCTCAAAATTCCAACATGTTGGAATTTCCATTTCGGCGCGTTTCCGTACGCATGGCGCCCCAAAAGCCAACGAAAATACGCACAAACGCGTGGTTTCACGCGTACACGCGCCAGTTGTGAACACAGCTTTACACTCTTCATAGCTATAATTACGTTTCTTTTTCCGCATCAATTATTGAGTATTTGTATTAAAGCAAGAAAAACAAAATAGTGTGTTGCTCCCTATGCGTGAGCCTGCGCAATTCTTTCCGCCTTTACTTGACACTTGGCCAAACTCACAACTGCCACCCAGAGCCCACGTGAGCCCCACCAAACCTTCCAAGGACGCCCGCAAGAGAGCACTCTCTGTTCGATACACATTGTTTCTGGGAAGTCGATCAATCGTCAGCTTGACTAGGCTTAAGAATGTTTTTTTACTGCAGGACCACAACAACACAAAGTGCCTCAGCAGCCCAAACGTTGCCGGGGATATCCGATAATAACGTGTATTATTTTAATTCGCAGAATCGAACGGGCAGCAAGCCCAATTACATGAGAGCGAATGTGTATAGTGAGTATACGGTCATGTTCGGTTTCCAACAACGCACATTTTCTCTGCTATCGCCGAACTTTTTCGTAGAGAAACAAATTGTTTAAGAAAAACCCAGTAAATTACGAATATCCCAATGTCAGGGCATGTCGGATTGCAGTGAGTGTGGGGGGGGGGGGGGGGTGCATGTGCAGTGTGTGTGTGTCTGTGTAGGGTGTGCATAGGTAACTAACTGTCTTGGCCGTTTTATGCCGATGTACTCCGTGTGGTGTAGACCAGGTGACTGGTGTGCATTGGTGGTCGATTCACATGGCTTCGCCAGTTGTGTGGCTTAGACAGTTATCTGGCGCAAGTCTTGATCTGTCTTATTCAGATCTTGTTCGCTATCGTTGCTATAAGAGAAAAACTGTGGGCGCACATCCAGTGCATTTGCAGATTTGCGTGCTTCTCTTGCGACGGGCGTATGCATGGTGCATGGTGTGTGTGTGTGTGTGTGTGTGTGTGTGTTATTGTGTGGTTTGTGATATTCCTTTCCTCTGGTGGTGAGTTCTTTTCCATCAATATGGCAGCTTGTTTTGATTTCCTTTTTTTTCAATTCATTCTGCTCTACTTTCTGTTTTGTTTTGTGCCACTGCCCCTCACCTTGCGCTCAGTTCTCTGAGTGGAGGGCGGCGTGACCCCACTGGGGTAGCTGATTGATAGTAGTAGTAGTATGTGTTATGTGTGTGTGTGTGTATTTGAGTGTGTGTGTGTGTGTGTTTGTGTACTTGAAGTATGAGAAAAGTGTTGTTATTTGCTCGTCGTTATTCCTGAGTTTGAATTGAGGTGTAAAGTATGCATTCGAATGATTACTTCTAGGTTGAAGATTATGTTGCTACTTGTGAGTTGTTGTTGTAACCGAGGGTTGTTTCGGGGTTTCTCTACATGCTCACCATCGTGTTGTCTGTGTGAGCCTAGTGTATGTACAGAGGCACATGTTGATGTTTTCGTCTCTTTTACTGACCCGTTGCTTTGCAGGAAAAGTTTGTGTACTTGAAGGAGAAGGTGGGTCGGTTTGTGGAAGCCTCCCTGAACTCCCTGACGTGGCCGTGCAAGCGATCACAGATTGAGCTTCAAAACCAGCTGCGATCGGAGCTAACAAGGTAATTGAGCCCTTCCAGCCTAATTGTCTTGTTTTGAACGGTGTGTAAATAAGACAGTACACACCCGCCAGCACTGCACGTGCTCTTTGGCTGACCATGTCCGCTGCTGCTGCTGCTGCGTACCCGGCTAAATGTTCCGTCACCTGTTCTCTGCTGGACCGATGGCAGCACGATAGCTTAGCAGGTGTGTCAGACAATATCGTAGGGTGGTGCGGTCATCCATCCAAAGTACTCCTAGTGGGGCGCTCTCCTGACAATCTAGAGCCAAACACATTATTGTTAAAGTAACGGGTACTTGTACCTGGGGCGTAACGTGGTGACCGTAGCGTGTTCGACGGCCCTGCCTAGTAGGGCCGGGCACCATTGAAGCTCGGCTGTTCCATCCCAGTCCCAACATGCTTGCCGCTCAGTAGGAGTGGCCTTACAACAGCTGATTTGGAACAGTGACCATAGATGTGTTGCCTAGGGAAACGCACGTTGTTTTGAATGTTTTGAGACCCAGCGAAGGATGTATAACTCATCCTGCGAAGCACGGGATACTCATCCCGCAAAGCATGGGATACTCATCCCGCAAAGCATGTAAAACTTATCCTGCAAGGCATGGGGAAACTCATCCTGCACAGCATGTAAAACTCGTCCCGCACAGCATGTAAAACTCATCCCGCACACTGTGTGTTTGTGTCCTTACGGAAGCGTTTCCTTGTCGGTTCATTTCAGTTAGAATAATAAACTTTGTGAACCAGCATGTTGCTGTGGAGACTGCGTCGAATAGAATGGAGGAGAACATAAGCGAGATCATAAAGTTGTGCAGAGGGGAAATCGCGAGGCCAGCAAAAATAGAACTTATAATAAATTTAAAGAGGGAAGGTGAGACAATAGCAGTGAAGTGAGAGCTAAGTGCAACGGTGGGTGAAAAACTAATAATTATAACGCTAAAACTGTGTAGTGAGACAAACAATCATGCTGTGCACCTACGAAAACAATTTTAACGCAACTACATGTTTCTTCTGCTTACAAAGATCAGGCTTATGCAAACGAATACAAACAGCCTCAAGTACTTTCAACTGACTAGCATACCGTGCACGACAAAGAACAGAAAAACTAAAATCATCATACACCTGCAGACACTTAGGGTGAGACAACAAGTGAAGAAAAACGGCAGACTTCTTACGATCACAATCACCATCTGATTCCTCGTCTCCAACAACCGCAACCTCGTCCTCCGTTTCATCTCCCAACTCGTCCTCAGTGTCGTCCTCCGTGTCATTCTTCTCATCAACACTGATCGGTCCCAGGCTCGTTTGACGTTGTTTAACCTCTGTTCGTTGACTCCTCCTTTGATCTTGATGGCAACTTGTTACCATTGTTGTTGTTGTTGTTGTTGTTGTTGTTGTTGTTGTTGTTGTTGTTGTTGTTGTTGTTGTTGTTGTTGTTGTTGTTGTTGTTGTTGTTGTTGTTGTTGTTGTTGTTGTTGTTGTTGTTAAATCTTGTGTTCCCAGTGTCCTCGCCGGTGCTTGATCTCCAGTACTGTAATAATTCATTGAATAATTGGCCGTTGATCGTCTAGGTCTTTGAATGTTGATTGTGTTACTTTCTTTGTTGAATTCCGTTCCCTTCAGCCTTCTTTCTCGTTGTTCACAATCAGTGCTTGCCTCATCCATATATGCACGTGCCACCGACACCACAGACTCAGCCCCAGCACCGCCGATGATAGATGTAGGTGGCGGTTCTGGGGGAGGCAACGGCAAAGACGGTGATGAGGGCATTACCTCATCACAGCGTCCACTTTGGTCTTGAGCTGAATGTTGTTGTGGTGTGTTATCTTGTGTTGTTATGGTGCATTGTGTTGTGGTGACAATAAGCCCATTACCCGACTCCAAGACTCTCGATACGGGTAATGGAGGCACTATTGCCGATGACGGAAATTGTGCTAACGATGGCTGTGGCCGAGGGTTCTTTAGTGGCCTGCCGCGTTTTGGTCGCAGTGCCCGTGCCGAGCCAGTCAGCATATGCAGTGGGACGTGCTGCTTGATACGTGCGTTCAGATGTTGAAGAGTCCTACCAACGTACCGACTACCGCATTGTCGGCACTCAAATTGGTATACCAATTTAGATGCAAGTTGGGTTGGTAGGACATCCTTCCTCACCGTGAACGCACGTACAGTTGTGAAAACGGGTACAAAATGTACCGCGTAGTAAGTTTGCTGTACAATTTTCCGTACCAAGCGACTCATGGATAATGAGAGGTTACCTTTCCAGGGGAGAGAAAGATACGTGGGACATTTGTCCGGGCCAAAACGTTTTTCCTTTTTATCCAGCCTTTCGCTCATGAGTTCCTTCAATAGATCGTCAGGGTACCCGTTCTTTAGAAAAACGGACTTAAGGAAGTCCAGTTCCTCAGCTAGTTTGGAAGAGGAGCAAATACGCTCTGCTCGATCCACCAAGTTACGCACTAAATTCACCTTGTATTGGTACGAACAATACGAGTCAAACATTATGTACTGGCCGGTGAATGTAGGCTTTCTGTACACAGATGTTACGGTACCCTGACTAGACTTTTCCACAAGGACGTCTAGAAAGGGAAGTTTGTTGGCTTGTTCGTGTTCACACGTAAAACGTATGGAAGGATGTAGGTCATTTAGAATACCAAGAAAGATTTGGCTATCTTCAAGAGAATCAAACCAGGTGAAGGAATCATCAACAAAACGAACGTACAATGCTGGCCACAACTGTTCTGCAATCAGTGACTCGCAGTAACCAACGAACACATTCGCTAAAACTGGACCCAATGGAGAGCCCATGGCTACCCCATCAACCTGCCTGTACATAATGTCACCGAAGGAAAACTCCACACCAGTCGTCACGAGCAACATCAGTTCCCGGAACGCCGTCTCCGATATCCATGGCGTGTCAACTTCATCATTTCGGTACAACACATCTAGGCAAATATTGATAGTCTCTTCTAACGGGACGTTCGTGAACAGACTAACAACATCAAACGAGCACATATGCGCGGAGGCCGGAACCGGGTGGGAGCGAAGGACGTCAATGAATTCGAAGGTGTCTTTAACTGTATGTTTGCAATAGAACGTTTGCACGATGTCAAGCCAACCACGCAGCCATTTAGAGATATTATATTGTGGTGATGCAACCATGGATAATATGGGGCGCAACGGACAGTTCGGTTTATGTATTTTTGGTAGCCCATAGAGACGTGGCCGGACGGAACCAATGGGCCGCATTTTGAAGAACTCTTCCTCCGATATCTGTTTATTTTCCTTAAATCTCTTGAGAAAACTATTCAACTTTTTCTCTACTCGAACTGTGTTGTCATGAGTAGATACCGGACCGAGATGGACAAACTTACTCGTGTCCTCAAGGATGACCGCCATTTTTGTATTGTACTCTTGTGTGCTGATAATAACTGTAGCTCGACCCTTGTCTGGTCTTGTGATTCTAATATCGTTGTTGTTCGTAAGATGACGTCGAGCCTTAAGGTGTTCTCTGGATAATGAAAATGTGCTTCGGTCTGGAGGTTTTTCTGCGTGTTCTTCGGCGATGGCTCGAAGATTAGCCGTACAGATAGCACGCTGATTTTCAGATACTGGTGTAAAATTCTTCATGAGTTTTTTGTGGAACATTTCGAATTGCGTAAGAACTATTTCCTTTCTGTTGTTAGAAGGAGGAATACCAAACTCCGTTCCCCGGCAAAGTAATTCCTTTTGCACAGGGGATAGTTCGATGTTGGCCAGATTAATAATCGTGTCCATGTTGGGCTTAAAGGAGCCATACCGCTTTGCACGCAGCCATTTGATGTTTTTCTCGTACTTGGCGAGGAGTTTGACTTGCTGTTTGCTGTCATTCTCGGCCAGTAGTGTACTGAATCTGAGGTAGTCGTGATAGGAAAGGAACGAACGAGCCGAACTATACAGACATTTAAATTGAGACTTAACAGAACATAATGTGTCACTAGAGCGCGCAATGTCGTCTTTGAGGAATACTCTTTCTATTGCTAATGAGTGATAAGCACGGGCTTTGTGCACCCGATTCTGGATGGAAGTAGGGCACACTCCATTTTCCTTACAGCGCTTCAAAAAGATAATATTATGTGAAATGTTTCTAGCCAAGTAGCGTTTGCGCAGAGCATCATTCAGGGTTTCAACCTGACTCCTAGAGTATCTCCGTTTAAAATATGCAAATAATCGACGTGGAGACAACAATTTTATAATAGCAATAAAAAGAACAAATTCTGCAGTCATCGCCACACTACAACGAAGTCATGAAAGTTTACCAGAATTAATTTTCTTGTCACATTCATCAGTGGAAAGTCGTGATTGGTTCCGTCCGGCCACGTCTCTATGGGCTACCAAAAATACATAAACCGAACTGTCCGTTGCGCCCCATATTATCCATGGTTGCATCACCACAATATAATATCTCTAAATGGCTGCGTGGTTGGCTTGACATCGTGCAAACGTTCTATTGCAAACATACAGTTAAAGACACCTTCGAATTCATTGACGTCCTTCGCTCCCACCCGGTTCCGGCCTCCGCGCATATGTGCTCGTTTGATGTTGTTAGTCTGTTCACGAACGTCCCGTTAGAAGAGACTATCAATATTTGCCTAGATGTGTTGTACCGAAATGATGAAGTTGACACGCCATGGATATCGGAGACGGCGTTCCGGGAACTGATGTTGCTCGTGACGGCTGGTGTGGAGTTTTCCTTCGGTGACATTATGTACAGGCAGGTTGATGGGGTAGCCATGGGCTCTCCATTGGGTCCAGTTTTAGCGAATGTGTTCGTTGGTTACTGCGAGTCACTGATTGCAGAACAGTTGTGGCCAGCATTGTACGTTCGTTTTGTTGATGATTCCTTCACCTGGTTTGATTCTCTTGAAGATAGCCAAATCTTTCTTGGTATTCTAAATGACCTACATCCTTCCATACGTTTTACGTGTGAACACGAACAAGCCAACAAACTTCCCTTTCTAGACGTCCTTGTGGAAAAGTCTAGTCAGGGTACCGTAACATCTGTGTACAGAAAGCCTACATTCACCGGCCAGTACATAATGTTTGACTCGTATTGTTCGTACCAATACAAGGTGAATTTAGTGCGTAACTTGGTGGATCGAGCAGAGCGTATTTGCTCCTCTTCCAAACTAGCTGAGGAACTGGACTTCCTTAAGTCCGTTTTTCTAAAGAACGGGTACCCTGACGATCTATTGAAGGAACTCATGAGCGAAAGGCTGGATAAAAAGGAAAAACGTTTTGGCCCGGACAAATGTCCCACGTATCTTTCTCTCCCCTGGAAAGGTAACCTCTCATTATCCATGAGTCGCTTGGTACGGAAAATTGTACAGCAAACTTACTACGCGGTACATTTTGTACCCGTTTTCACAACTGTACGTGCGTTCACGGTGAGGAAGGATGTCCTACCAACCCAACTTGCATCTAAATTGGTATACCAATTTGAGTGCCGACAATGCGGTAGTCGGTACGTTGGTAGGACTCTTCAACATCTGAACGCACGTATCAAGCAGCACGTCCCACTGCATATGCTGACTGGCTCGGCACGGGCACTGCGACCAAAACGCGGCAGGCCACTAAAGAACCCTCGGCCACAGCCATCGTTAGCACAATTTCCGTCATCGGCAATAGTGCCTCCATTACCCGTATCGAGAGTCTTGGAGTCGGGTAATGGGCTTATTGTCACCACAACACAATGCACCATAACAACACAAGATAACACACCACAACAACATTCAGCTCAAGACCAAAGTGGACGCTGTGATGAGGTAATGCCCTCATCACCGTCTTTGCCGTTGCCTCCCCCAGAACCGCCACCTACATCTATCATCGGCGGTGCTGGGGCTGAGTCTGTGGTGTCGGTGGCACGTGCATATATGGATGAGGCAAGCACTGATTGTGAACAACGAGAAAGAAGGCTGAAGGGAACGGAATTCAACAAAGAAAGTAACACAATCAACATTCAAAGACCTAGACGATCAACGGCCAATTATTCAATGAATTATTACAGTACTGGAGATCAAGCACCGGCGAGGACACTGGGAACACAAGATTTAACAACAACAACAACAACAACAACAACAACAACAATGGTAACAAGTTGCCATCAAGATCAAAGGAGGAGTCAACGAACAGAGGTTAAACAACGTCAAACGAGCCTGGGACCGATCAGTGTTGATGAGAAGAATGACACGGAGGACGACACTGAGGACGAGTTGGGAGATGAAACGGAGGACGAGGTTGCGGTTGTTGGAGACGAGGAATCAGATGGTGATTGTGATCGTAAGAAGTCTGCCGTTTTTCTTCACTTGTTGTCTCACCCTAAGTGTCTGCAGGTGTATGATGATTTTAGTTTTTCTGTTCTTTGTCGTGCACGGTATGCTAGTCAGTTGAAAGTACTTGAGGCTGTTTGTATTCGTTTGCATAAGCCTGATCTTTGTAAGCAGAAGAAACATGTAGTTGCGTTAAAATTGTTTTCGTAGGTGCACAGCATGATTGTTTGTCTCACTACACAGTTTTAGCGTTATAATTATTAGTTTTTCACCCACCGTTGCACTTAGCTCTCACTTCACTGCTATTGTCTCACCTTCCCTCTTTCTATTTTGGCACTGTATTTTGTTCTCGTAACACATCATTGAATATAATAAATTTCGTTGGCAAACCTCGCGCTTGTCTGATGTCGTGGCTAATAGACCACACCAGGCTTTGTCACAGAACTAAAAAATTGGACAGATACAGAAAAACAGATACCGTGAAACCTGTCTAAGACGACCGCTCAAGGGACCTTCAAAACGTGGTCTCTGTTACCAGGTGGTCTCCTTATCCAGGGTCATTTGACTGGAAATAGCATCCCTTGGTCCTGATTCCAGTGGTCTTCTAGGACAGGTGGTCTTTTAGGACAGGTGGTCGCCTTGACAGGTTTTACTGTATCTGCAATCTTGAGGTAGGCAACGGCAGCAATGAGGCTTGCGAGTTCCAAGCAAGCTGAATATATGAGGCTTGCGAGTTCCAAGCATGCTGAATGCTTTGAGGCCAATATGGTCAGCATTATTCGGACCATGACAGTTGCTGTATATGGAATGGGCATACAGCAGCTGTTCTTGCGCCGGCAGATGCAGCGCCTAGCGGTGGGGCGAAGGGATAAGTCTCGCAACCTCTGGTGAACGGGTGCCGAAAACCCCATCAGCCGCATCCGTGTGTGGAGTTCGATTGTAGCTGGCTTGTAGCTTTCGTCCTCTGTTTGTGTTTCTTTCTTTGCTCTTAGTTAACCTCTAGCCACTGTAATCTTAGTAGCAGTGGTGAAGCTTCCTGCAGCTTCATTCATAGGAGGTGGTTTCAGGGCAGACCGCTCTTTCCCATTCGCTCTGCAACTAGATTAAACTCTTTTATCATATCAGTTATTACAACGTTTCGGCAAATTGCCCTCATCAGGCACTCTAATCATGTGTATTGATATTACATCGTGTTCACTAGCAAGATTCTCATTGGTTGTGTTGTGTTTCTGTTGTGTTGCTGCCGGTACTGCTATTGGCGCGGCTACTGTCTCCGTTGTTCACGTGGCCGTTCTGGATGCGTGCTCCATTTCTCTTCTCTCCACGGTGTGTGTGTGTGTGTGTGTGTGTGTGTGCGTGCGTGTGTGTGTGCGTATACGTGCGTGTGTGTGTGTGTGTGTGTGTGTGTGTGTGTGTTGTTACCCGTCGTTCACGAATACTGTGTTCAGCTCCTCAATCCTTCGCGACGTGAACCCCCTCGTCGCCAACATTCTCTCCTCATCCATGGACTCTCTGGTGGCGCCGGAAATTCACAGCATCGTTGGTGACGTCCTCCACAACATGTATTTAAGCCAGGAGGATCTGGATGAAGCTGAGCAGGAAATGGCCCGCCTGCAAGCTGAGGAGGAAGCTGAGGAGGCCGAGCGAAAGAAGTTGGAGGAAGCTGAGGAGCGTCAGAAGGCAGAGGAAGCAGACAGGAAGAAAGCGGAGCAGGCCGAGAAAAAACAATCGGAAGACGCAGAGAAAGCAGAAATGGTCGACGAAGAGAGGCTAAACGATGAAGTTGACGGAAGTGTGGCCCGAAAGTCAAATCCCACCAGCACCGGTGGGAAGATCTCTCGGAGTGCGTCGTCTGAACCCCCCAGTGCTGAATGTGCAGTCACCAGCGAACCTGGTCAGACAGCTGTTAGCGCTCCACCGTCACCAACCAGGCTGCGTTCCACAGCGGCTGCTATGTCTCCAGTGGCTGCCACCACTCCCGCTGCAGTGTCCAGTTCGGCGGATTCAGTGTCGGTGTTGCAGGATGGCGTACTCACTGCCATTCCCAATGTCGTTCTGTTCCCGCCGCTTGTGGCCACCAACTTTGAGGAGCCCGCACCGACTAAGACTGCTGCCAGCGTTACCACTGGGAGCAACACGACCGAGAGTGGAGCCGACCCTGGTGTAGCGGATAGTACGTCGTCGCGCAGTGCCGCGTCACGCCAGCCGAATGTTACATCGCCGATGGACGACTCCTCAAAGCCGGTGTCCAGTCTTGTCACGCCACCATCCCCACCGCCGCTGAGTATTGCAACCAAAGCGGTGACAGTATTGGCTAGTGGTATACCGGGTGAGGACAACAGCAGAGCTAGTGTACCTCCAGCATTATCAGCCAACCTGGCCGCACCAGCACCGCCTGGCCCTTCAGCAGCACCAGAGCGGCATCACTTCCCACCGATAGATGCCGAGTCATCTCACTTCACTCTTGCGGCTCCACCACCGCCGCCTAAAGCCACGGCTGTCGCATCTGTCGGCGAGTCGTCCGCATGCGTGCACGTTGATTCTGGCGCCTCCTCTACTTCGCTGCCTGGTGCTGAAAGTTCCGCGGACCGGGGTGCTAGGGCCCCTGGTCACCATGCAATAGCCCAACACGCCAGCCCTCCTACATGTCCCTGGCAGCCGCTTGGAGAGACAGACACGTGTAAGGACAACAAGGCGGGTGATGATGATAACAAACGATCACCACCACAGCCACCACCGCCACCACCACCGAAAACAGCCACACCTGTGACGCAGCCAAGTCCGTCTCAGCCCAAGCCACTGTCTTCACCGCAAGCCCCACAGGCCAATTCCCCGGTGTCGCCAATACCTCCAGCAGTCACATCCAGCCCCACAGCTAGATCTCCTCCTCGTTCAGCTTCGCCACCACCACCTCTGTCTGCAGCACCATGTCCAGCCGGCGAAGACGACGCCAAGCATCCGGCATTGGCACCAGCAACAGCTAAGCCCGGCTCTAAGGTACAGGCTGCGCCTCGCCGCACTGTCCCAGTGGTCAGCCTGCAGAAGATCACATCGCCAGACACCGCTGCCAGGCTGGCAGGGGTGGCAGCACTGGCATCGGGACACGCTGACTCCAGCCAAGGCGTCGCGAGCGCTGATGCCGCAGCCACTGACACAGCAAGTGCAGACGTTGCTCGGTCTGGGTCTGCCGTGGATGATGAATACGCTCTAGCCGTCGATCCATTGGTCAGCGAGCAGCCGTGCGATACCCAGCCATCCAGCGCGGCAGCCGAGCAACAGAAAGCAGAATCGAAATCTCCTGCCAATCCAGCATACGTCTCCTCTGCTAACGTTGTCGTGGATGAGAATGTTACATCGCCCGTCGACATCATGCTTTCCGACCAGGGAGACGGTGGCAGCGGAGTGTGCGACGAGACTCTCTCCGTTAGCTCCGTTCACACCAGCGACCTGTCATCGTTTGATAGCCGCATCTCGTCCGAGTCCGACTCCCCGTCGCCGAGTGCTCCGTGCTCGCCAGCTCCACCACCGGCCGTGTTCACCGCCACCAAGCGCTCGTCGTGTTCCCGATCACGTTCGGCTTCCTCCAGGAAGATCTCCTCCTCTACGTCTCCCGATAGGACTGCGGACAGGTCACCGTCACCGTCGACTCCATCACCAAAGCGACGGCGGCGACGACAGGGCCGATCTCGCAGACCAGTGAACAAACCACCAGCAGCACCAGCAACAACACCAGCACCGGCGTGTGATGATGTCGGTGTTGCGAAGGAGAAGGAGGACGATGGGGTGGCGATGTCACGACGCGACGGCGCTCACGGGTCGCCGTCCCTGGTCGTGCCGTCGCCGGTAGCGTCGCGCAAGTCTCGCCGCTCCAGCCGGCCCACTCGCCGCTACTCTCCCTCTGAGAGACGTCAATCATCCGTCACAGCTTCAGCACCACCACCAGCAGCAGCAGTAACAGCAGCAGCAACGCCAGTGATTGACGAGGTCAGAGTGAGAGCAGTGGCGGCTGCCAAGACCACCACCATCGCTGGGCTGGCCGGGGTGCGTGCAGCCACCACCATCGACGACAACTCGCCGTCGAGCTCCGAACCCGGCACGCCTCAGTCGACGTCGGCGCGATCCCGACGCCAAGCGAGGGCCACGCCCGTTGCGGCGGCCGCGGCACGACTGGGTTCGGAGCGCCGCCGTCGCCACAGCAGCTCATCGTCGGCATCGGTTGCCAAGCGAACACGGAGGTCTGCCACCGCCGGTATGACTGGCGCAGGCACTGGTGATGGGACGGCGTCTGACATGGACGTCACCAGTCCGGTCAAGGAGTCTGCGGTCAGGACGTCCGCCAGGCTCAAATCCAGCACCAGGCACTGACGACGGCACCTGTGCGTGTGTGTGTGTGCGTGTGTGTGAGTCTAACAGTTAGCTGTCTTCTCCAACCCTCTCCATCTCTATCCCTATCTCTTCTGGACTTCGATAATTATGTTGGCACACGTGGGCTAGAGTTGTTGTGGAAAAATCGGACGTATCAATCACTGCCTGTGGCTTTGGGCTACTGTTCGCTTTTCGCTTTTCCAGTTAGACAAGACATGTGTTTACGTGTTTGATGCTTCAAAACCACTCTTATTAAATTTGGACAGGTTCTTGTCTTCTTGATCAACCTGGTTTAGGCGTGCGGTTGTTGTGTTGTGTGCTGGCTTTTCAAGCATCTGATACGTGATCAAAATTTCGAAAATACTTTGTGTTACATGTACTGTACTCACATCTGTGTTTGCGTGTTTGTGTGTGTGTGCGGATGGTGTCTGCTGGAAAATGGCCTAATGGCGGAGTGTGACAAGCAATGGTAATATCAAGCTGGTGGACGAAGCGCCGGTAGAAGGAAAATGTATTTTAACAATTTGAAGTCTTAGCAACTGTGACAAGTTCTAATAACCCTACACACCCCTGGGAAATTTCTCCGGAACACCGTACTTCTAAACATGCATGGAGTGAATTCCAGCGATCTGCGCCTAAGAAGCTGGTATAGTACTATGCAATATACATTGTATATCAGCTAATCCATAGCGGCCGCATGCAATACAATTGTCGCGTGCATTCTAGATCTACATGTACATGATCACATGATTGTGTTGTTTGACAGCATGTTCAATAGTTTGTTACAAGGCGGAGGGTGTTTTCAGCAAAACAAGGCTTATCTAATAGTACATGATTGCACATGTATCGCAGTACATGTAGTACAGGATTGTACAGTCAGATCATGCATTGCAGAGAGCACTAAAAAGTGAAATGTTGAAAACATTTTTTTTTTCAGTCATTGTCAACATCACCACGGCTCAAGACCAAGAGTAAAGTCATACCAAGAGTACACATGCATATACCGTAAAGTTTTATATAAAAGCCGCACTTGAATAGAAGCCGCCCTCGAATAGAAGCCGCACTTTTGGGCCCATCAAATCACACATAAGCCTGGTTTTAGTGTTCACATACATAGAAATACCTGTCTTGTATAGAAGCCTGTCTCATAATTATAGAAGCCTGCAAAATTTCACCAAAATTTCACCAAAATTTAACATTGTATGTACTCTAAACAAACCTTCGGGGAGAAGGAAAAAAAAGAAAAAAATGAAAAATGTTTCCGCTCGGGTTCGACCCGAGGACCTTGTGCGTGTGAAGCACACGTGATAACCACTACACTACGGAAACTCACATGCTGGTTGAACGACAAAAGCGGTGTGTGAGTGTGACTGTTACAAACTGTACAGACAGACAGTCAGTGGAACCAGGGGGGCCGGGGGGGGGGGGGCAGGGAGCCCTACACGTACCAAGAGTAGGGGGGGGGGGGGGGGTGATACAACGATACAAGTTATATTCTTGCACATGTTTAAGTTAACTGGTCGGATCCCTTCAGGCATATCGACATACAATGACTATGTACAAGCACAATGTAGATGATGGCTTCCACAGCAAACGCACAGGACGGAACAGTGCCTGACGTGCCCCTCCCAATTCATTAGTGCGCCATGCCAGTGTGTCATCCTACCTTAGGAAACGCAAAGTCCAAATCGACTTTAATACACCCAAGCAGGATCTTAATAAAAAAGCTAACATTGAATCCCTTCTTTACCGCAGGCAGTTTTTAAGCTTGGTTACCATGCACAAATTTATTTTCAAGTATCGACGTTGCCTTGCTTCATTCCATTTCAATATCACGCAGAGTGCGAGACGCCCTAACAAAATTATTCTCCCTAAAGCAAAGACCACATCAAAATCGTTGTTTCTCTTCCAAACCTCCCTCTTATGGAACTGCCTCCCACCAAGACTAACTGCAGAACCATCCATTATTGTTTTCAAGAATGAGCTTCGCAAACTCACTTGCAAACATAGTGCTTCGCTCTCCGGTATGCCTACGCCATGTACATTATAGCAATAAAAACTGCTTCATGGCAGTTTTCTAAAAAAAGTTATTGTGTTCTAGTCCATGGACCACGTCTAAAAAGTAAGAAATTAACGAAATGTGATAGCCGAAAATTAAAATTTCACACAAAACCTCACAATAATCACAACACTTGAAATGCTGCTTTCAACACTAAACTTGTACTGCACCAACAATTGGCAACATGCATGTCATGCATGCATAGGAAAGAGGATCACGAGGGGAAAAGGTCTTCTACATGTAGCTTTTCATTCTGTGTGTGATTATTGTGAGGTTTGTGTGAAATTTTAATTTTCGGCTATCACATTTCGTTAATTTCTTACTTTTTAGACGTGGTCCATGGACTAGAACACAATAACTTTTTTTAGAAAACTGCCATGAAGCAGTTTTTATTGCTATAATTTCTTTTGTTTTTTCTGTCACCAATCAATGGAATGCCCTATACTATATCAATGTGTAAATTTAAACTAAATGATGGCCTTCACATCATATCAAGACTCTTGTACAGATTATCGCCCATTTGTTCGTTCATGCTTAACCTTTCTAGGGGCTCCCGTAAGAAGACCATAGGTATGTGGGAAACACCCTAGTAAAATAAATAAAATAATAATAATAATAGAGTACATAAACGGTTTATGTACTCTTGATCATATCAATACCGTATTATACGCCTTGATGTGCAAGCCTTTTCTTGCAGAAAATGGCATAGCATGTTCTTCTACGGGGAAACATGTGAGTACGTAGTGGTGGACCGCGGTGATACTTTTTTTATACGGAGGTCATTCTGTGCATGTTGCTGTAGCAGAATTTCATGACTGTCATAAAATCGTCTTGCCTTTCAGATATTTCAGATTTCCCCACCCTCGATCAGATTTAATTGAGAAATGTAACCAGGTGCGTGTCGCAGATGTTTTTTGTTGATTCTGTGTTTAAAATGGTTTATAATCATGGGTTTTCGTGATAAGGTCATCCTGCATCATATTGCACTGAAATCGTAATCCTGTTGATGTCGATAGAACTTTTGGAAGTAGTTCAATGACTTCAAACTGTTAGTCCACGATATTCTAAAACAACACAGCAAAGGAGGAACAATAAACATGTATTAAAATGTAAACAAAATACATTGCTGAGTCCGACACCTCGTTCCAACAACTACACTGATCCTGAGGATAAAAGGGGCAAGGCTATGGTTGGAGGTACTGAGAGATAAACAAGACAAAATCTTACACATCTTTTGGTGGGTATGAATGATATCCAGTCGAACCTCTTTAGGACGAACACCAAGGGACCGATGGTATTAACTCTGTGAGTTTGTCTTAACCTATTTATAACCAGTGAATACAATTATTTCTCCAATAGACATACGAATAGATTTCTTCTACAGCGAAAGATTCTAAGCCACACCAACTCATTGACTCGTCTCGTATGAAACAAATGAGTCGTAGAGAGGTTCTGCAAAACGAAAATGCGTACAAACTTTCGTTCTACTTCATGAAGTGCGAAACTTCGCACGAACTTTCGCAATTTTGGACACGAAACTTGCAGGGAACGCGAAATTAAGTGTCGTAGGAAAATTCGTGAGATCGGGTCATGGCGTACGTGCACTTGGCCCGCGCAAACTACGAAAATGTGCAGAACGCAAAATTCGTCCACACTTTCGCAAGGACTGTCGCGAAACTTCGTTCGAATTTTCGTTTTGCAGAACCTCTCTACTGAACCTTTCTTTAGAAACATGACTGCAACTGAAACAGCAACAGAGAAAGTACGATACATGTGCAGCACATTCTTGCAGGTACATGTACTACAAACAGATTGCAGATCGTAATTCTTGCTTTGGCGGCACGAAACTTTATTTGGGGCAGTGCAATCTCGGCGGTACTCACAAATAATAAATCAAACAGCCCAGACTCGAGTAAACAAATCCAATCATACAAGTACGAGATCTTCACGAGACGAGACTGCACCCATTGGCTTGTTTCGTATGAAGCAAACAAGTTTACTGAACCTATCCACAATGGAGATTTTCCCTGATATGCGAATTTATTTTGCAAATTCGGTCAATGGGTCCTTGAACCTTTCCCTCCAGATTGGGAACTGCCAACGATAGTATGCCACTGACCAGTGCCTTACTTGTAACGTACCAATGTACAATGAATATGAGTATTTCGACAACACATCTAACATACCGGTAAGCCTTACCGTCAAGAAGGTGAACTCGCGTTCTTCGTACACAAGGGCAAAGAGATAAAAATGGACCTAAATCCGAATAAAATCAGCACACGTTTCCGTAAATGAAAGGGTGAGCATAAGCAAATGAATCGAAGGAAACCGGTCAACTCAGAGATCACCTGTCATCGAGTATTCCGTAAAAGGAGGCCTCGGCAGCGGAAAAGCTAAATAATTTAGAAAAGAGATCCTGTCAGCTTTTCCATTATTTATTGCATTCCGCCCAAAATCAGCACACTTTTCGTAAATGAAAGAGTGAACACAAGCAAATGAATCAAAGGGAACTGGTCAACTCACCTGTCAGTAATATTCCGCGAAAGGAGGTCTCAGCAGCACCGAAACGAAATAAGCCAGGCCAGGAGTCGAAATATCCGAAACAGCTCATACAAGAAGCAGTTCCAAAGACAGAAGTTCCTTGCGCATGTACATCCGAACACGGACTGCACTGCAACACAATGTCTGCCGTGCACGTGCACAGCACGCGGCTACCACCCGCTGGTAGATCTAATACCGAGCACCTTACGTAGAGACTTATGTAGCCTAAGTGAAATACCGAGCACCTTACGTAGAAAGTTACGTAGCATAGCGGTGTCGTTTTTCTTGCCATGTGAACACAATAATAGAAAAGCTGACAGGATCGCTTTTCTAAATAACCCCCCCCCCCCGCCCCCCCGTGTGCTCCCCAATGCATTCACGCTGCACAACTTTTCACTACTTTCACTTTAGGCCAAGTAAAAAAAAAGCTAGATGATCGTCCCCGTCCGCCCCAGTTTTTGTCAGCGCCCCAAGAAATATTTTATTTTTTAAATCGTGAGTTTTACTATATGGACCACATACTACTAGTATATCACAACGTCAGTATCGATCTGCTGAAGAAAGAAAAAGAAAAAAAGAAAAAAAAAGAAAAAAAGAGAAAAAAAACCTTGATGTTGTTGTGTACACTGTGTGCATGAGAGGGTAAAAAGTAAAAAAATAAAAATAAAATCCTCCCGCCCTCCCCGATTTTTCCAAAAAAAAGGACGATCATCTAGTAATTTTTTTTACTCGGCCTTAGCGTGTACATGTACATCCTTCAAAGCGGTGAACCCCTTGATAGGCGACAAGCCTCTGGGTCATCCTAATAAAGATATTATTATTATTATTATCAGTTCACACTTACTGTACAGTATGTGTATATCGGGATAGCGATAAGAATAAGCTGAACAGCTGGCGAGTAAAACAGTACCGTAGTACGGTACATTGCTTTGGTGTAGTGTGGATCGAAAGGTAATAAGAATGGTGACTACAGACCCACAGGCCCACTGGACCACTGCACTGACGGGTACTATTGGACGCTAGAAGGGGTGTGCGACTGTGCGGATTCTGCTCGAAAAGGTGGCGGATTCTGCTCGAAAAGGTGGCAGATTCTGCTCGAAAAGCAGTGAAATTGGCAGAACCATACAAACCTTATGGCGGGCAATTCCTCGAATTCTGCTCCATTTCTTTATCCACATACCAAACATGCATGAAACGTACCAGAAAAAGTACCCAGTTCTGCCAATTTTTTCTGCCGCCATCATCCGCATATGCCTAGATACTAGTAGTGATCGTGTGCTACACATGTATTGGATTGGTATTCAAGTGACGTTCCACAAGACATCAGTGTGTGGTGAATCATGAGTTCATGACCGGCGTCCTAATTGTCTCCTCTGTCTCCTGTTGTTGTAGAAGTGTACATGTATGTAATCCTCAGTCATGTTCAATCCCTTCCATTGGTTGGTTGGTTGGTCTTTATTTGAATTAGTTGCGGCTACACGTACTGGTAGAACAAACGAGCAAGAATGCTCACATAATAAGTTGTACATGGCGCCGGGGGGAATTGGTGTGTGTGTGTGTGTGTGTGTGTGTGTGTGTGTGTGTGTGTGTGTGTGTGTGTGTGTTTGTGTGTGTGGTGTAGGGGGGGGCTAGAGGAACAAGCAAAACTAAACGAGTAACGTTACAGATCCCGGGGCTTAGCGATGCAAGGTAGTGAGTGGGACGTGTGTGGGGGAGGGGGGGGGGGGGGGGGGGGCACACACACCCATACACGCGCACCATGCATACACACTTTCATCTCACGAACTCTTGAAACTCCCCTGACAAGTATCATTATTTACTTTTGAAGAATCCTTCGAAGAAAATATGATTGAATGAATGAATGAATGAATGAATGAATGAAGCGTCTAGGGTAGGCCAAATGTTCGGGGCTACCCAAGAGAAAATAAAAAATGTTAGCTGTACATGTGTGACATTTTTAACTCCTGGACAGCCTCAGCCCAGTGAGTAATTAGTTCTTCCGTGCGAAAACTACTTGCGAACGTTTGATCAGGGGTGATACAGTCGTGTATAGCCCCTATCTGAGAAGAAACTCAGAAAACGTCTAGTGCCGGACCGGTCTTCCTTCGAGGTGGTGGAGAGTCAATGTAGAACGCAGTATGTTCATGGGCTTCGCAGTTTGCTGACAGATCCAGTTGTGCGTTACGTGGTCATTGTGCAAACTACAGTTCATGTAGTACTACTAGTAGTTCAGTTATCCGGCGAGGGGGGGGGGGGGGGGGATTTTGGACAAGGCCTATCTTGAGATGATCACTGTAGTCATTCCACTACATGTAATTGCAGGACAAGACCGATAAATCGTTTGTCACGTTTCCGGTCGAAGCTGCGCCAACTCTATAGTATAGGGGCCAAATAGGCTAGCTCGGTGCACACTGCACAGGTCCTAGGCTGTCAGGTCCGTGCACTCTGTCAAGAATGTTCTAAATCCTGACAGGTAGCTATCTACGCGTCTCCTCCGTGCCCATGGCCCAGATTATCACGATGTCATCTCACATGTCACACACAGTCTACATTTTTGAATCATTATGTAGCACTGTGCGCGATCGGTAGGTTTGGAGCATAAACTCCAGTCAGATTAGTATACGTGTGCTCACCAATGCTGTGTGTGCGAAATTCCTAGGAAGGGTCAGGTCGTATGACAGTCGGGTGCTTCACCCATGCCTTAAGATGAGTTACGTTGACACCTTGCTGCCAAAATGGTGCTACCAAGAATGCTTCACACGCAGCGTACCTTGAACTCCTGTCAGAGACGGAGTAGCCACAGGACACAGGTTTTTGACATCCAAGATGGCATGCCAAATCCGCCCTACCACGGTCGGGCAAGAACGAACTCTATCGTTTCCCTTGTCGTCCTCTGAAGTCAATGGGCAGCTAGTGAGTGGTGTAATGCGCTCACTTCGGATGAGTCACAAGTGCTTGGAACATTTCATGACCTGTTTTGTTGCTGCCACGGGCCTCGCCTCAATGTCTAGACCGCCCCAATGAATCAAGAATGGACTGAACAGAAGTGTCTGAAGCCTGAGGATTGACACTTTCTTACAGGAAAAGTCTTTCAATCTCTTACTCCTCAGTGGTATAACTGTAGATTGCAGTGCAGTTCTGCTCCATAATTTTATTAATTAGAAAATCCCGAGATACCTAACGCCGAGTAACGGTGCCTGTGTGTGCGTCTGAACGTCAAAGTACTCTTGGCCTCTGATGTTACTGCTCTACATTTCCTATTATTAGTATGAGCCGCTCGTACTCTTTGTTTCAAGGACAAGCATCGACCCAGGGAGAGAGGGTGTAATTTTGTCACAAATTATACCCATTCTCTCTCGGTTGATCTTTGTCCTTGAAACATTGAAACTTCACAGTACATGTACAGTCATGACATTGTATACCTACTCAGGCTACTGGGATTGATCATTCCTTCGGCGGACCGAGGACCATGCAAGCAGGAGTCGAGTCTCAGTTGGCAGCAGCAGGAACATGCTCCCACTGCCTGAGTGAGACCTTGCAGAGCCGCGTGAGAAGTGAAGAAAGGGAAACACAGTGCTGCCCGATGATGAAATCCGATCCTATCATCATGAGTCGAGTTTGCGCCTGCACCAGTGCACACACCAGTACAGTGTTCGCAGGTCTAGGGCTACATAGCATAGCACCCGGCGTCATGGACTGGCCGCTGGATCGGATTTCATTGAGCAGCACTGTACATCATGTTGAAAAGGGCACTCTTGACTTTAATAATAGCTTCACAAACTGCTATGTATCACGTACTGCAGGGGAGTTGAAAGGTATTTTAGTGTGGTACGGTCAGCCATCAGAAGTACAATTTTACTCGTGGGGAAGGGATCATGGGCTGAGCCGAACATTTTGGGAATTTAGAGCCCAAATCGGTGCATTTTATTGATCCGCAGGGTACTTGGGGCAAATAGTGGTACGGTCAATACCGTAGTGACCGTACCGTGTGCGACGCTCCTGCACTGCACACAGTCTACTGAGGTTTGGAACCGTTGAACACTGCAACCTGGCTTACCATGCTTACTGCACTGGCACATACATCATGTGAGTGACATCACCTAAGAATTAGATCTTCCATCAAAAAAAAGCTGTTGCCAGTCACGCGGTTGGTTTCAAACCAACACACTATCAACACAGATGCATGTCGCATCTCTCCTTGCATAACACGCCAAACGCAAATGATTCATGTTGTATGACTGTCCTCATCCGTCGCCTTAAGAGGCATAGGGCACAGTTGCACACAAACAACATGATTCACAGCGCACTAAAGCTGTATAAATTCTCAAAGGGTTCACAATGGCAGGCAGTTTTAAAGAAAAGAAGTACAGCTGCATTCGCTCTGCTGCAACACCGGAAGTCAAACATTTAAAAAATGAGTGAAGTGGGGCTGCAGCTGGAGGAGTCATAATTGTATTGCTCTCCCTGTTAGAAGTATAGAATAAATACTCTGGAATATAATTGGGGTTTGTGCTTGACGAGATCAAGACGAATGGGGTAGGCTATTGGCACACCATCAAGAGATCTACGAGTGTACGCGTCTCTGCCCTGCTCACACCATTAGTTCGGTTTACCTAAAAAAACAACAACAACGCACATAAAGAGTACGGAGATTAGAGTCCTGAAGTTCTGAATATAGTGCTGTCTTGCTCTACTGTACGAGTAAGTGTGTTCCTCGACTGTCGGGTTAGGCGTCGCGTTTCGTTACAAGCAGGCGGATGCCGTTCTTCGAGTGCATCACGATCGTCGGGTACGGCTGTGGCTCCGGGCCAGTGATATCTGCCTGGCTGCTGAACTCGTAGCGGGCAATCAAGAGTGACAATAGCGACACGACCTCCTCCATGGCCATGCGCTGACCCAGGCAGCTGCGGCTGCCGACGGAGAAGGGCAGGAAGGCGTCGCGCGTGGCGTTCGGCGTGAGCGTGAGATCGCGAGCGCGTGGATCCGACGCCGTCAGGAAACGCTCGGGCAGGAACTCCTCGGGCCGAGCCCAGACGGCCGGGTTGTGGTGGAGTCCCCACAGTGAGACCATGATGCGAGTGTCGCGCGGCAGCGTGTAGCCGTCGATGACCATGTCCTCGCCAAGGCGCCGGTGAATGAACGGCACTACGCTGGCGAGACGCATGGCCTCCTTGACGCACGCCAGCAGGTACGGCAGCTGCTGCTGCTGCCGAGACGGTCTAGCCGAGGCACTCGACGCCGATGAGGATACAGACGCAGAGCTGTTGTCACTGTCCGAGCTGGCGGTGGTGGTGTGCGTACCTGCGCTGTCCGATTCGCAACCACCGGAGCAGGCGTTGGCGTGCGAAATCTCCTTGTAGCATTTCTGCTGAGCGTCGGGATGTACGGCGAGGTAGTGGAGAACCCAGGACATAGCCGTTGCCGTGGTATCGTGGCCAGCGAACACCAGCGTTTCCAGGTCCGACTCCAGTGCGTGCAAGGCTTCCGCTGAGAGCGAGGCCAGTCCAGGCACCCGGCTGACCAGGTGCTGCTGCAGTGGATTGCTGCTGCTGCTGCTGTGTTGTGTGGCCGTTGCCGACTCACTGTTGTTGCTGCTGTGCGCCTTCTGCAGTATGCTGAGAAAGTCCTCGCCGCTCTGGGTCCTGGCAATGGCGGCAACTTGGTCGTCGCTGTCCTCGCTCTCGGTGTCCGACTCCTCTTGCTGCCGTTGTCGCTTGGCAATCTGATTGTGTGTGAACGAGTGCGCTGTTCGAACAAGCTGCGTATACAGCTTGCCCGCCGTCGTCCTCCAGTAGACGGCGTCAATATGATGGGTGATGGCCAGGAGTCGGTCTACGATCATGCTCAACAGCTTGGGCACTGCTCTGGCATACGCAACAACGTCCTCAGCAGGCTGTTCCATACGCGAGTCATCAGGCATAGCAGCTCTCTGACAGTGTGATGAATAACTGTACGCACACCGCAGTATGACGTCAAGGCTCAGCAGGCACATGGCCTCCTGAACATCCACCACTGCACACGGTCGCTCTCCGTCTGCCGCTGCCGACAGTCGAGCGTCCCACACCGTGTCCAACTCGGCGATGCTGGCCCGATAGATTGCGCCGCGCCGCGCCGAATGGCGTGCGCTCAGCGCCGGAGCGAGAAGCTTCCGACGCGCAGCGCAGTCCGGCGCACAGTTCGTCACCAGACTGGAGCCTAGCCAGGGCTGCAGGAAGCTGTAGATGTACTGCTCACGCGGATGGACGCTGGAGCGCAGCACCTTGTTGACGCTATCCGGATGATGCACGACAATGAAATCGTCCAGCGGCAGGCGATGCAATCGGAGAATTCGGGGATGCTGCGCCACCCAGCGGCGCCAGTTCGGTAGGGAGATGTCTGGATTGAGCAGCTTGGCGTGCCCGCTCAGCCAACTGCCCTCAACCGTCGGCACGCGCCTCAGTAAGGAGACGCGTTTTAGCAGAGAAACAACCTTAGCCATTTGCTCACGGAGAGAGAAGGAGACGAGGACCACTACCAGGCTGCTGAGCGCCGCCGAAGAGAACTGGTTGAATGAAGTGAGGAGAAACATCAATGGCAGTAGCAACGACACCAGCGTAACAGCAATTGTGCCGCACCCCTGCAGCACCATTGGCGATTGGGCTTGGGGCAGGAGAGCCACAAGAAAGCGCAGCCAGCCGCTAACACCGCCATTGGAGTTTGCGAAGCTTTCACCAGGAATTGAGCTATAGAAAGTTGTCGTGGACGATTGCGACGAGTCCATCTGCACTTTATTTGCGGAGCGCTCGCTTGATGAGCGGGCGGATGCGACTTTACTGTGAGGAGCTGTCCCCTGTAATAATGCACGAGCTGCCCAATGCTTTTCCGTGCGCTGCTTGGCTAGCTGCGCGAGTGGTGGCCCCTAGGGACTGTCCCTGCACGCCGCTGACAGCACGAGGTACTGCTGGATGCTGGTGTGTGTGTGCGAGGGCACCACTCCACACACACCGATGAGCTAGCGCGTTGAGGACTGACTGGGCAAGCTGATGTGAAACTTACACTGAAAGGCACAACGCATAGCACAGACTGCACGTACGGCAATGATGTACACGATTTGCCTGTGCTTTCTCGCAGCGCGAGCAAGCTGTACTGCGAGACAAAAAGAAACAGACGGCGGCAAAAATAGGGCACAAACGTTCTCTCCGTCAGCCTCGTAAGAAATGAGCCTACCTCTCTGATTCAAGCTGTTTTGTTGCCCACGATCTAGGTCTTCATTGTATCGTTTTCATTTGTTCTAGGACAGGGTTTGTCGTGTGGCTGATTCAAGCAAGGCGCACTTTGCTGAGCCTTCAATACGGTCAGGCTGGCCCAGCGCGTACTTTTGAACTCGGAGCTGCTGCAGCTATGCAGCAGGCCCGCTGCGGCACGTGCTACATGATTGGGTGACATCTTTTCTTGCATTGCTTCGCTACTACGCCAGTATCGAACACTGATTGTATGCGTATTTGCTTTTACGGTTCGGGGTTCGCGAACGGTTAATCAGTGGAGGACGGATTGCCGTGGATAAAATGCCCGAAAGGACGGACCAGTAGTTGTTGGGTGTATCGGAGTACGCGATCAGATCGCTGAGACCAGGTGTTCGTGGAACAGCACAGGCATGATGTACCGACTTCGCTGCGTGGCTTCGCCTGGGCGACCTTTCGGCACTGCGCGGTTTCATGGGACGACCACAGCATGGCGATATGCCCAGAATTCGTGTGAACAACATGTTTGTGCTGGACGGGGCCTCGACCGAGAGGGGACAACATTGGGTTTAGACAAAGGCAGGAGGCCTTTACACCTCATCCCGATGTCCTTGATCACAAAATACCTACAATGTTATCGAACAGAGGCTTCAGTCACCTCACAAATGTATACTTTTATACGACGGGAACAATACTTGTTGTGCAATCAATGAATATTGCATGTAGTTTCCCGACGAGGCTACCAGGATTCCAGGGAGTGGAACATTCGCGGATGTTCCCTGTTTCTAAGGCACTGGGGGTGCAGTTTGAGGGACCTCTGGGAGTTGTGTCACGGGTCGCTGACAACTGCGGTACGGTCATCTACTTCGGCAAGGAAGAATGAGGTCGAGAGTACTAGTGCTTCACAATGCCATACGAATGGTACACGGGTTACGGGTTAAATTGCTTCTGTGTATGGGATATAACAGCAACGTTCCACTGCTTTTTGTTGTTGTGTGTATGTGTGTGTGCGTGTGTGTGTGTGTGTGTGTGTGTGTGTGTGTGTGTGTGTGTGTGTGTGTGTGTGTGTGTGCGTTTTGTGGACAGAATTGCACCTACTTGAACCATCTGGACGTGTATTGTATGCCATTGTCGACTTCTACGTGAGCTACATGTACATGTATGAGCAGCAGCACTCTCCATGGAGTATGCATAGCCAGTAGTAGTTGAAACTCCGCTTGGGAATGCTCACCGGAGTCCGCACTACAAAAGTGTACTGCCCGAAGTGTTTGAGTTGGTGTCATGAATTTCTCCTCGATTCTCGGACAGTGTCGGAGCCAGGGAGTACTTCGAACTAGTAAAATGCCATAGATCGGTATGTTACTGCTCCCTGGTCAGAACACAAAGTTCAGAGAAAGTGCAGCAGCCTCACCCTGCAATCTGTGCCGCACAGTCGACCTCGTCGTCCTATTGACGTTGATCCGCTCCGGGAGAATGTTGTTGATCTGCTTTGTCCACAGCTCGCCATGGGATGTCAGCTTTGCGCGTATACTCTTTGTTTCGTGGAATCAGTGTGCGTAGCCGGTTGTTGGGAGATGTTCTGCGAGCTTTTATTCCAATCTTGCTTTGCTATCAGGTAGGTAGGTACGTTTTTTATTTAATTTCGCAGACTGGCGGTGTCGCACACGGAAGCGAATGGGAACAGTAAGCGAATAACATCTTACGACGCCGCGATGTTATTCTAAAAGAAGCGCCTTTCCGATATGTTCAACGGTCCTCTACTTCAATTCCAAAGAAGAACAATCATTGTCAGCCCTTCTGAAATTCCGCGACGATCAGGTTTGCGGCATGAAGCTCGGAGTTACGAGAAAAACGTGAACGTCCTCTGCTGAGTCTGGTGTGTCTGTCTTTGACATAATGACATTAATCACATTGAGCACTCTCTGCAACTCGGCGATCAACGCATTCGTAGACACATGTATCTCCATATTCATGAAGTCAGCGCACCACGTGGTACAGGTACTAGGTGGTGTTTCCACGATTGAAGAGCACAATTTGCATCGGCCAGTCCGGACAATGGCGGCCCCCACGAGGATCGGATACGCGTTTACCGGATATTTCAACCCTTCCCCGGGAGTCGACCCCGAGAGCAGCTGTGCTGAACACCTGGGATTCGCATACTTTAGATATTCAGTGAATGATGTACTGTCTTTTGCGCCAATACTGGCAATAGTACAAATAGAAGCAGCGAAGATGGAAGGAAGACCAGCGACCTATCTTCCTCTGCACACACCGGCCAGTGGTTCTCAGGAAGTGCGAAGGGCACTGAGATCTGGAGATCAGGCATTGGAGCTGACAGTAGTAGTAGTAGTAGTAGTAGTAGATTTTATTATTTTACTAGGGGAGTCCCAACAGGCGTTGCCTTTTTACTGGGAACCCTGACAGGGGCTTGCTTACCTAGCTCTTTTTTTCCGGCACGGTTACTAACACTGATACCGTGTAGTCATGATTCGAATTCAAACATGCATCTACACCCTACAAGGCTACACGCATTATGTACAGTAAAACCTGGTGTAAGCGACCTCTGGGTTTAGCGACCACCTGCTCTTAGCGACCGTTTTCCATGCATGTACAGTTCTACACAGAAACTGTGGGACCTGGTTCTAAAGACCACCTGGCTTTAACGACCGCTTTTGCTTGCACCGTGGGGTGGTCGCTTAGACCAGGTTCTACTGTACATAAACAAGGTTTGTTGGCAGTTCGCGTTGCTGAACAGTGTCATTATGCTGTGCATGCAGGTGCCGTTTCGTTTCTTTTCATTTATTTTATTATTAATTTTTATTTGTTTACGTCAAACACAACCCTACCTACATGATTGTATACATATGTGTGAGTGAGGAAGGGAAAAGGAAAAAGAAGCAGGAACAATCATTGATGGTAGGGGCCCACGCAATTATGGTGATGCATGATCATGCCTCGCAGGTCTTCTGCAGTCTACGGTGCAACAGTGTGTGCCGTGTTGATGATGTAGCAATGTAGTTTCCTCCATCTCAATCTGGCGTGTAATAGAAACCGGCGTTCTTGTACCCAGGAGCCGTGCGATACCCGCCTCGTCCTCAGCTAGTAAACGGTTATCTTCGCCCGATATTTTCAGACACTAGTTTAAGCCTGCCTTCTTGACTGGAAATTATCAAGGGGAGTTGCACGAACTACCAGAACAAGGGAGTACGCCCTGACCAGAACCATCCTGGAGACGGAGCACAAGAAGCTGCCGCCCCGACAGACCTATCTTGATCACACACGTACATGTACGTGTACAATGTACATGTGCTGCCCATTTGTCGCGGTAACGTCGCGATGGGATCTAATCGGGATTATCCGATAATCCACATGCGTGCCAAATGAACTAACTCACGTCACTGAACTTTTTTTCCAACTTGCGGTGGCGTGGATGACCGAGAGATGGCCAGTTTTCCGTGTTCTGAGCAAGAGTACAAGTCATATCAACAGTGGCTACCGACATAGACGCATCCATCGTCAGCTCAACATACCCCTGATGAACCCTTGGCCTTTATAGCACCTTTCGCCTTGACAGCGTGTTATTTGAGGACCGGCATAATTACTTCCAGCTACATGTATATGTAAATCTGACATGCATTGTCTGACATTGGATGCCGACTACCTCAGCATAAAAATGAATTCCTCGGGGTGATCTCGTGTTGATCAAAGCTGACGCCAAGCATCTTACGGATGATCGTGCGAGAGATTCGGTCAAAGTACACAATCATGGTCTAGCTGCACACCGTCCCAGCAAACTCAAGAAGTTTTTATACCATCAAGAGCACAATTATACATGTATAATGTACATGCAACCAGTTATGTTCTCTTGCTACAATATAAATATTAGTACCTTGTAGTTAGTCAAGTACGCCAGTCAGCCAGGTTATGGTAAATGATGGTTGAGAACGTTTTTTACAACCACTGGTGGAATGGGTCATCACTGCGCAGCTCTATACAGGAGGATAGCTTCCCTGTTGTCAGAAAAGACCTAGGAGCCATACAGTGTTGTAATGGCCTAGGTTCGCTGCCGCCTTAGCTTCACTCTGCTTAGATCAAGCGTAATGACTATGACTTCGCGGTTCGCGTTCCCTCAGACTGTCTCACGATGTTTCCTCACCGGCGTCACTGGTTGCCGTGGAGGCTGCACTTGAACGCTAGCCAGCCATGCACCATGCGTTTAGCTGTTGAGGTTGTTTGCGCTTGTGTTCATTTCACTCCATTTTTAGCTCATTTCCTGCATGTCGTTGTTGTTGCGCTTGTGTGTAAAGTAATGTCTACAAGTGCAGCAATTGTTACGTTATCCTTTGAAGTACGACCTCCTCTTTGCCTCATCATCATCATCATGAGCTCACTGGCTGCTAATACTAATACTAGTAATAATCCCAAGAGCTTACACGAGTATAAGCAAGACACTCCTAATCTACATACAGCTACAACTGAAATCCGACCCGTGACCCGACATTCTAGCGGTCTCTATTTCGTAGTTTTACAATCCCGTGCTGGGTCTTTGCGATGTGAGCGCACCGCTCAGGGGTCGGATTTCAGTTGCCAGCACTACTAGTACCTAATCATAACTTAGAGAAGGCACTTGTTTAGTGCTCTTTGTTGTAGTTCAGTCACTTTACCAGCCGTGTCTATTATCGTAGTCCGCGATGTGAGAATGCACACTCTGTTACGTATGCATGTGTCAAGATGGCGATCAACTCCTGTCACTTTCGTCGACAGTTGATGTCACCTCAAGCGCAGAGCTAGAGGGACAGCTAGATGGGGCTGTACACGCGGTATGATGTTCTGCAAAAACAAGACTTAGTAATTCGTTAGTAAGTCCTTGCCTATTGAATCCGCATGTACAAAATTAAGTGAACCTGTGCGGGTCTGTAGCCCTTGCCTTGGTGCATGGGTAGGTGTCATGGTGAGGACAGAAAACCGGCAGAATTTGAT